TTGACTGGAATAACAACATTTTTCACGCAATAAAACCTCGGAAATAATGACAAAAGGCTTGAAAGGATTAATTACAGTATTTCAAATCGATATGAGAAGTGATAATGGAAGAGAGGGTAGTGACATTATTTCCTTTTTCAGCTCCAAAAATGCGCGAATTTCATAAAGTTGAAAGCTTAGATTTGTCAGAATTATTTGTGAGACAAAATTCATGAACTAACGTCTCTAGATGTCTTTCACAGGTTCTCACCTTGAATAAAGTCAAAAGCATTACGGGTTATTCTATAGAATAAAATAAATCAAAATCGAGATTTTAATCAAAATATCCCGTGCCAAAAGCATTACTTCTTATCATATTTCTAGCAAGCAAGCACAGGAAGAATCAGAGCTGAAGACAATTACATGTTGACATGGGCAATGTTTTGACCATATTTTAATTTAGAAATGTTGATGTTTTGAATCATGTACCAATTCCTTCACGTACACACAGACTGTAATGTACTTGTTTCGATACTATAGGGGAACATTTTTCCGACTCCCGAATGTATAGTCGCAATGATTTAATAACCGACTTACATTGAGTTGAAAGGCAAGAAAATGAATACACAACATTTTCAAAAACATCTCAAGACGAAGACGGATTGCAGGACAACCTAATTCTGTCGTTCCTAGAGCTCGCGAATAACTTTTAGATCGAAATTCCCCTTGGAATCTTTGTGGATCGTCGTCCCGATCGTCCGTCCCGTGATGGGTGTGGCAACCCTGACTCTTTCTTGTTTATTGCTCATTTCCGGAACAGCATAAACGTCGGCTTCTGAAGGCACCAAATCCGGCATGGAACCACGCATTCTTTCATCTCGCGAAAACCCGTATTTCCGGCACGGGTAATCGTATGTTGCGGAATCCACTGGACTCGCTTTATTGTTTCTGGCCCAGGTTCCCGCGGCCAAATAAGTGGCCTCTTTGACTTGACCTGCCCCACATTTGATCATGCCTTGCAATCGACCGGAAACGTTCTTGACGAAATGCTTGCTCCTTCCGATTAACGTAGTCGGCTTTGACGATGTGGTGTCACACGAATTATCTGCGGTGGCACCAAAAATAAAATGTCGTCAAATTCGCGGAATTCTCGAACGTCTGATTGGGCTTTTTTTGCGGATGGAAACGCATTTCGTGGATTTGACATAGTGATGACCATGCAGTAGAAGGATGTACTATTGTGGACTAACTTTACAACGAAATTTAAGGCAAAAAAAAATCGTTGTGGATAGTATTTCTCGGGAAAGAATCCCTATAGAAATGGGTATTGGGAACGCGATGTGACCAAAGAAAAAAAAGCTTTGATACGAGAGAAAATTGTACTAGAGCCCTATTCGTTCTAGCATACAGCGAAAACCGTTGTAGACGAATTGTAGTGAGGGTCCACATGCATTAATTATTAGGACAAAAACTCAAGTCCTTTTTTATTGTTCGTTTGAGTGTGTGCAAAAATCGACATTCTTATTCAAAAATATACAGTACTGAATGATAAAAAAAACCATCGAACCTGAAGGAATTTTCTCACGTTTCTGAAAAATTGTCTGTTTCTTAGTATGGGTATTACCGTTTTTGCTGCAGCAAATTTTATGAGACAACTCGTAGTAAGTACAGAAATGACGAATGAACCGGTATGTCCCGACACTCACCTGCAGATACAGCAGCTTCTTCTTTTTGATCTTGTGCTGCAATGTTAGATGTCGCACAAACCTCAGGTGACTTTTTCCTGATTGGTTTCGATGGTTTCGTCATCCTGACTTCTTCATCGGGCACTATTCCTGTTTCGCGATCGTCTTCCCAGTTCCCGACTAGTTGATACAAGTGCTGATTTTCGTAAATGGAAGGTTCAGAAAATCTGTGAGGTAATTCAACGATCTGATCGTTTTTCCTGTCATCATCAGTCGCCTTCGACGAAGTTTCAACTGATGTTGACATGCTGGAAAATGGAACTTGGTAGTCATCATTGCAGTCTACGGAAAACTCGCAGGTGACGGTTTGCACTTCCACTTTTCGGCCAATATCATCTTCATCAAGTGATCTGATTTTTCTGTTCGTTGGATGATTAGGAGGAAGTTTCCCAGCGGGGTTGGAGGAACGTCGAAGCAAGGCAGTCAGACGTTCTTGCACTTTCCAGCTCTCGTTCTTGGCGGAGGCGAACACAAGTTTACCGGGGCCACCTGGGCGGTGAGAGGTCAAATGAGCGCTATCGTGGACAACTGCGCGGTTATTGGGACAATAACTGAACGCAATAAAACAACTGAGCGTCAGCTAACTAAAGCTGATATTTCCACTATATCATTGTGATGCCTCATACAAAAACGCAGAAGTGTTAATTTGTTCAAAGGAGGCGGTTTCTTTAAATTTTGTGTTCATTGTGGAAGAAGGGTATTGAGCAAGAAAATAAGTATAGGCAATAAACTATTGGGGAATCTAGCACCTGATTAATCATCAAGGAGACGTGCATTTAAGGTTATTCCCAGAAAATTGAAGAAACTGGTATATGTTGCAAAACCCTTTCCATTTCATTGTTGGAATTTTGGAGACATATTCTTGGAACTGAAATGGAAGTGAATTACACACTTTTGTATAATAGGGAAAAAAGCATGAAATAAATTATCAGATGCTGTTATTATCAAAATATGCTCATTTAGCTAAACAAATTCATAATTTCAATCTTTAAAAATAGATGAAAATTTTTATTTTAGAAATTAATAACGCCTCTGTCAGTCTATCCGCCATTAACTTTGCTTGTTGGTACTTGACATCAACATACATATTGAACAATTATCCCAAAAAGGGTGATCACTTTCTTGCATGACTCACACTTTCTATTGAGAACCATTTCTTTATTTAACTCAACTTATTCAATAAGCAAATGAAAATCACAACGCTTGAAGGAGCACAGAACTCATCAAGAAAAAACAAAATGCACGCATATTTTTCTGATGAAAGAAATAAATTTGAAATACAAATTTTGATGGTTAGAGAATCACTACCGAGGGATTTAAAAATTTTACATTCATACAACTAGGTTTTTTTTTACTTATCATTTGATAAGGCAATGGACTTTGTTGTATGCAACATCAATGCTTTTTGGGGAGTCGTTTTCTGAGTCAAGCGGAGGTTATTCATTCTATGTGTTTATCACTGTATGAGTCATTCGAAGTATCACGGTCATATTTTGGCATACTGGTGGTACAGTATAACCACCATTGCACTATGAAAGCAGCAAGAATTATTGAAATTGAAATCATCTGATTTTCGTGCATTTCGAATGCAATCGAAATCATCGATGTGTACTTACAGTATTTGGACTTCATTTAGAAACTTTTTCGGCTCAGCAAAAATATTTCAACGAATTGTTGTTGCCTTCACCCGAATTATGGTGAAATTGATTTTTAACTAATGAGTATAAACTGCAGCGTTGAACAATTTTGAATTCTCTTACTTTGTAGATACGAAGTTCCCCATTTGTTTTGCGATCAGTTTTTTTTTTCTGGAGCTCGATTGTTGATCGCACAGTTATGTTAGCCATGCACCTACCTGGGCCATATTGTCCGATCTGGAGGAATGTCGCATCTCCGGCTTCCACCCCACTTTTCCGGATGTACTTGAGCGGAAATCGAACGATTTCGAATGAATCTACTGTCTGCAAGATGACTGCATCCGGTCCTACGACCAAGTTGAGAGCGCCTGAAGATGTCGATCTGCTGAGACTGAGTCGCTGACTCAACTGTGTCGGGGCGATTATTATCTTGAAAATGTCCGCTGTGAAACAAAGCAGAAGCGACATCTATCCGTCTAACTCAAAACGTTTAAAATGAGATTTACGTTCATGGCTGCCAGGGCGCTGATTTTATGGATAAATAAATTTCCGCATTATTGTAATCTAAAAGTCCACCATCTTTCGATCGGAGATCTCTATTATCTTTCGATTTGAAGATCTCTGTCACCTTTCCATTTAATGTCCAAAAGGCCCCAGGGAGATGCAGGTTACTCAGGTTCCTTGATGAGGAAAGCATTCGACCTAAAAAGGTTTTTCTTGCATTTTAGTTTTTAAACTATTGATCTATGAATTTACTTTTTAGACTAAAAATCAACTTACGCAATTCCGAGGACATGTAAAAGTCGTTGTAAATTTCTTCAGAATCCATATCTTGACCTTTGTATCCACTTGCCATTTTGCTGTGAAATATTTCACAAAAAAAAATCACTGCAATCTTACGATTGCTGCCAGCAACAGAGAACACCTTTCTCACTGCTAAAATTACCATAATACAGGATTTATTTTATGGAGTCGCCTTATTTGCACAACGAGAATCCTGCTCTCTCCAGAAAAATCTGTTTCCTTAACCTTTAAAATACAAGTATTTCTCACAGAATTTCGTACACTTGAACTATTTCAAGAAAACTTTCAACTGAAACGTTTTTTTTGTGTAGTCAGATTGCTGTTTCAGCTCAAGTGGTGACCGAGAAAAGACAGATTCTTGTTGTCTGTGGTCAAGTACGGGGTTCATCGCTATAGAAGCTGCAGTTCACAAAAAGATCCTGGTAATCTTTCAAAAAGAGTCACCATTTTTTTTTCTGAACTCTGACGCAGCTCAAATGTTTTTCACATTTTGGACTAGCCTCATTATTTTTTTTCTGTTTTCAACTAAACAGAGGAACTGCGATAGTCACATCCCTATCATGCTTATGGGAAGCTCGTGTGTTTGTCAAGTCCGTGGAAACGGGAAAAACTACAATTGCGGAGATAGAGACTAAAGAGTTCTGCATAATTAATTATGACGCACAATTTGTAATACAGCATAAAATAAAAATTAATGAGATATGATTTTTCAAATTTGTCAAGGAAGGTATGGAGAAATATTAATATATTTTCATCAAATATGGTTGGCTTCTTAAACAGGAAATATAGGCAAGTTTTTTCTTCTTAAAAACAATGCTCTGTGTTTTTTCAAAAGCTACTGACTGATCCAAAAGGCAATAGGAAGGCGACAAATCCTCTCCTGAAAATACCAAATATTTTCTGTTTATCTTTCATATTATCAAGACGTTAATAATTTTCCGGAGGATTTCAATAATTTCCTCCAATTTCTCAAAAGCATATGAAGTGACCAGTAAGAGACAATAAAAGGTCAAAATCTATTGTCTTCTGAAGTCTTTAAAATAAATATGTACCGAATAATAAGTTGGGGTGTCCACATCGTTCGGATCATGACAGGAATTAATATCAAATATTCCTGATCATTCATTTTTTCATAAGTCAAATGACCCTCATTAAAATACACAATCAAAGTACTGCATCTGAAATTCAGGCCGAGAAACGCATGGATTAAAAATATCTTAAACCTGAAATTTCAAAAATGCATACACGGGACTCTTATTCGTCTAATTCCTGACTTTTGCGAATTTCCTGCCTATTTCTACATAAATTGTGTTATTCCAGGTCAAGAAAAAGGTGTTTGTGAATGCACACGAATAAAATGCATCAGCATCATGTCTGCGAGTATCAAATTTAAAAAATACCTGCTTGATTCATAACGGATAAATTATGCATAAGTGAAAGAATGGTCACAGTTTTTTGTTCTCGAGGGTACAATCACTTTGTTAACTCAATCTAGCACGCACAATTAAGACTTTCAAATATCATCACACACTATAGCCGCCGAAAAAACATTTGTTCGCTCCATCTGGTACAAACGCTTCTTTCGGGAAGATCCCGAGAAGAAAAAAAAAACACATTCAAAGCACAACCAAAACTGCTGGATATAACGAATAGAGAAGTACAAAACTGTTTGCAAAAGGGATTTTTTTTGCGAGATTGAAGACGTTCGGTAGAAAATTTTCGAAATAAAGACGAGTCGTACGCAAAATAGAATCAATCACTAAAAAGGAGAAGTACCATTTCAGATTTATGAATTCTTTGTCAATAACTTTATTGGAGGCATCAAAAGCTTTCCGATGTCCATTTCGTTGGAGTAAAAGAAGTGAAGTTTTTGATTGTGTATTTAAAAAATTAAGCATTATCTCGATTTCCCGAAAGAATCACTATTTTTTGTTGTCGAACTTGGTATTTTCTGAAAATTTTGAACCTTTCCGGAAATTTTGTGCATTCATCCTCTCAAGAGGATCTCAACTGGATCATAATGAAGCGTTTCAGCAAAAGTTAACATATCGCATTAAATGCTTCTGAGAAATAGGTAAAAAAGTTAAGATTTTTTCTTGTGATTGAAAAGAAGCTTAATTGGCATTAGATCATCTGCGTAGAACACTTCATCCGTCATTATTTGTCTTCATCTTCTTCTCTTCAGGCTCCTCATTGTGAGCGTCCTCCTGATAATTTTTGCTGGAAGCGTGTTTTTCCTGGAAAAAAAATACACAAATTACTAAATCGTTTACCGAGAATTGCTTTTTTTTTTAGCAAAAGAAAGAGCTTACAGCATCAATGGGAACAGGATCTTTGGCAGGGGACTGATCCTGACGATTCCCGTCTGCTCCTTTTTTTCTCAGGGCAGCGGTTTCTTTGGCCTCTTCTTCGATGAGGTCCGCCAAAAGATCCTCGAGATCCTGTTCGTCCTGTGGCGGCGGTGAAAGGTGTACTTCGAGGCGGCTTCGATTAACCGGCGCCGATGCTGCTTCCAGGGCTCGACGACTCGTCGAACTGATCGGGTTTTCCCGAAGGTCAATCTCGACCAACAGCGGTTTGCGTGCCAAACGCTCAGTGTCAATATCTGCACAAAAAAGGAGAAGTCATTTGAAACCTCTTTCGCATAAAAAAAAGAACGCATTTTTCATATTCGGATTCCAAAGATGAGGATGCGACACGCAGGTATAATTGCAGCATCATTGAAGGATAACGACTAATCAATGCAAATTTTCAAGCTGAACACTTTAATTGATGCCATTTGACATGCTTCATGCTTTTACGTTGATTTAATGAATGAACTTCCTCCTTCTCCGTAAAATCCCCACCATGAAAGATAACTACTCAAAGATGAATACCCCTCCTAGAAATCGAAGATAAGTTTTCCAGATATTAAGACATCAGTTATGACCAGTTATTGGTCTGAAAAAAAGGCTTTTTATTCAAGGCAAGGATCGAAACGTTTATGTACCTTTTTTAATTGCTGTGAAAATGTCATCAAGGCGAGTGGGCAGAAAAAATACTAATAAAAGCTCGTCATTTGGCTGCAATCATGTTGCGACAGCAGTCTCGGTCATCATCAGAGCCTTGTCAGAGTGAAATTGAATATTTTGAAAATATTATACTGTATTTTGAAACTACCCAAGAAGGAATACAAGAAATATATTGATGAGACATTGTTCGGTGATACCCCACGTCAAAAAGTGTTGGAAAATCTTGAAAGAACGAAATCCAATTTCAAGAATATTAAAATTAAATAGATCACAGATAAAGGAATGCCTGGGACGAAATAACGTACTGTATACGTATTTTAAAATTAATTTGAACGATTTTATTTCCTCGAAGTGGATCAGGAAATACGCTAGAATCTCGTTTAACACATCATTGGTTACAGCAATGAATTAATTTCTCAGGTCCGTGCCCAAAAGCAATAATGTTATGAAAATCGTTTTATAAAAATGTATCGTTATAATGAAGCTGTTTTCCTGGTCCCGACAGCTGCTTCGTTGTAATTTATCGCATCTCTTATTTAATCTCAATAATTTTATTTAATCTCTTATTTCATTATTAAAAAAATGCTGTCCCTAAAATTGTGGTAGGGACATTATTGACGACTGTTCTTACTCTTGATAATTTTTCGCCTTTTTCAAGTAAATTATTCTACTTACCTGTGATGTAATTGTTATTGGCCTTGAGACGTCGCAATGAAGGAAGTTTGAAAATGCATGATGGCAAGTAAGTGAAGCAGTTGTGCGACACGTCCAATGTGGTTAATTCACTGCACTCCATGAACTCATCAGGCAACGTCCTGATTTTATTTTGCGACATGTCCAACTCTGTGAAGAAAAGTAGACAAATACATGACAAAAGTGGCAAAAATTATTCCGTCTTTCGCCGGAAAACTTACTCGTGATGAGGGAAAACTTGAGAGGAAATTTCGGCGGCAATTTGGCGATGACGTTGCGAGCCAGGTTTACCTGGATGAGTCTTAAATTTCGCATCAGGTGGTAAATTGCATCAGGAACTTGCATCAGCTGGCAATCCGACAAGTCTAAAAAAAAGGAAAATGCAGATGTCAGCATTTCGAACCTCCAGTTTCTGAACATTTTTGCAGGAGAATTTCTGCCGATGCGATGGCAACATTTTCATACTCCCCACTGATTGTCTTAAATCTTGCAACAGACTGTAAAATATGTGTGTTACATGCTACGTGTCTCAAATTTATGCAAGGATTTCAATAATGCTCATAAAAACCCCGAAAAATTGAAAATTAACCCCACAGCACCAAAATGTGACCTAATACTCTAGTAGAAAAAAAATCAGTCGATAATTTGAAAGGTCTGAAAAATACTCCCTCACAAAAATTTTCTCGGCTCATTTAAACTTCGGGAATGAACTGAATGTTCTGAGCCCGAGAGACGAGACAACTGAAAAGAAATTTCAACAAGTACCTCGAGAAAGCAGAATGACGTTTGAAAGTCCTTCAACCGAAACGAAAGATCGTTTTTCGGCGAACAACTTTTCCTTTCTTTCTCGGAGATTTCATCAGCAACACAAACAAATAAATAAACACTTAAAAAGGGAAAATAAAATAACGGGTTGAAAGAGAGGAAGAGCCTTCACAGTAAACTTTTATTTATAGACATTTTTTACTTTTTGCTGATTCGATAATAAACGCTCAAGAAAACCACCAGGAAACAGATGTTGTTAACGTGTAAAAAGTTTTCTCATTGCGGGCAGCTGTTCGGGAAATCCGATTCGAAGCTTCTTTTATCGAGTTGCTTTCCCCTTCTCCTTATATTTTTATTAGTTACATATATTCGTTGTCATGCTATCAAATATTTTTTTCCTGCTGAATAATAGTGGAACGTAACTGATTGCGAACTCCACTGTGATTGCGTCACTGTTTTCCACTTGGGTGACGACGATGATGGGGTAACAAACGGAGGAGGAATTCGGCATTCGTCCCCCTTTTCAACCACATACGAGTTTCCTTTTTCTAACCCATATTCTTCGACAGGAAATATCAGAATTCAAAGACTCATGAATTCGGTAGAGTACAAAGTAAGTTTAACGAGAATTTATTCAACTACTGTAGTTAAAAAATAGGCATTTTTGATATTTTCACTTTCGAGGGTCTCCTCCAAATAGTTGCCCAATCTTGTATATGGTGAACGAGGGGTTTAACAAAAGTTCTAGGGTTAGAGACTGAAACGGTGTATGACTGAACTGAAAAACTATTATTGCATAGAAAAGACACAATTTTTTCACAAGAAAATTAATTCTGCCCTGATTGACACGTTTTTCAGTAATTTTTGCGAAAGTTACGCGGGTAGTTTTCTTCTGTTTCACTCAAAAGATGAGGCGCCCATCTCGAAGATTTTTTGGTTGACCCCAGCTTCTCTTTCAGAATCCTTGAAATTGACATAAAATGGTATTAATTCCAAGGATTGCCTCCAGGTCTTTTGATGATGCAATAAGTGTCTCGGCTGTTAATTATCAATTAATGACAGAAACCCTTGGAATTAATGCTATGTCAATTTAAAGAATTCCAAATGAAAAGCTGGGGTACACCAAAAATTTGCGGGATAGGCACCTAGTCTTTCGAATGAAAAGCAAAAAAAACTGCCAGCATAAGGGTCACTTATTTTGAAAAAAAAAATTCTCGAAAATATATCAAACAGGGCTTTATCTTTTACTTGTTTCAAAATAATTTTTGTCTGAACAATGATTTGTTATCCTCAGCAAAATCATATGCCGTTTCAATTTTTATTCCGAGAATATTCGTACAAATATAGACACCTCGTATATATGTTGGTACGCAGGCAATAAAAACCGCGCACACGCGTTACACAACCACCAACGCCATTAAAAAAACGAAATAAAATTGCGAAAGCGCTAATGTGAGCATAAAATTCTCGGGGAACAAAGGAACAATCCAAATGCTTTCATGTTCTCACCCAAAATTCCGGTTTCCTCAGCTATTCGAGACCTTTCGATAACTCTAACCACGCCGTCACCCATGATCACTTTTGCATTCGAAGTCCTATTTATTCACCATCATAGGATGAACTCCGATTTAAATACAGTTTTTGCGAAGAAACAAGTTTATTTTTGAAATTGCATAATTCATTCGTGTCACAAAGTTCAGCGGATACAGGATAAACCTCATCATCCGAAGACAATGTAGCAAATAGTGTGCGTCAAACGCGAAGGCCTTCCTATTCTTTTTCGAAGAAATCCGCTTGAAAATCCCCGGACTTTTGAAAGGATGTCTGAAGGCATAGAGGATGACACATGCGTATTTATTTTTAGCACCATTTGTCCGCCAAAATTCCGTCACCACGACAGTGAAGAACCCAACGACTTCTCTTCTGCTACTGTATGGTGATCGAAGATGGTGATTTCAAAAGCTCTAGAACTTTTTAATATTGTATAAAAGGTGCCGTTTGCGACAGATGATGAGATGAACAATGCTTATGCCAATCCCTTCATCGGGTACCAAAAAAAGTTGCACAAAATTTTGCGAAACAGTTGAAAAGATTGATTTCCCGATGAAGAAAAATGGCGAAAAAATGTTGATAAAAATTTGAAAAAAATGTTTTTGGGCTTTCCTTTTCATCGTTTTACAAATTATCAGCAACTGAAAATTTAGAAACCAGCGAAATTAGGTCCATGAACTTGGTAAGGGCTTAAAAATGAGTGAAAATTTTATCAAACAGACGTCGAATTTCTTGGTCTTATTTTTGAGGCGCGACATTTTGGATCATTATCCGTGTTGAAAGTGATTTAAATTATTCGCAAGCCGTTCGAGAAATTTCAGGATTAATGTCACGATTTTTTTTAAGAATTCAGATTTGTACAACAATTCCGAAGTAAAGCTCACGATTGAAATCAAAGGAACTTATTCATTCACGAGGAAAAACAACGGAATATATACAGTGGAACTAGCTTTCAACTAACGTATCGTCGGACTTCTCAGTCTGTAAGAAACGCAGCTGTTGACGAAAGCTCAGAATAACTTTTTTCCACCTTCCTCCCTAAAATTCGTGGCAAGGTTCCAAAAGGTGAACGACATTTTTTTCTTCTTCACTGGAACACACGTGGTTTTAATTTTTGTTTCATTTATAGTTCTATAAAGTACCCAGACGACAATTATGTCTGAGTGAACCTGCGTCAAGTCATTTGTTCTAATTTTGAGAGAAAGAATTGTCTTCTTCGTCTCTTGAGTCAGTTGAGTGTCTTTGGTTCCAAGTACTGCTACCTTTTTTTTTGGATGACCATCATGACGTTTCCAAAACTCCTAACAATTAATATTTTGTATATCCGACCTGCTGATGGTTGCCCAATTGAAATTTACGAACGGGTTGCGCGTAATTTTCTTAAACCTTTCCAATCAAGATATAACTTCAGTTTTCCGTTTTCCTTTCGATCCGGGATTCTTCAAACACTCTGTCGGAATAAAAATTTATGAAGAGGAAAAAATGGCTTGTAAATTTTTGTAATTTAAGCTTCTTGAGCCCGAAGTCATTGCTAAAACATACGAAGTACAAGACGAGTGAATTTAAGACGAGATGATCTGATTCATCAAGTTTATTTGAAACACAAAGAACATGTTCAAGTTCAAAAGGTTTTAGAAATGATTTTTGGGTGGATTTCTGCTGTTTTCCTCTTTTACAGCGAGTTTATTTCGAATATGAACGACTTTTCATTAACAAAATGTGTCCTGGAATGTGTTGTAGGTACACTATTTTGAAAAATGCGGGACATTAATCAGATTTTTCCTGGAATTATCTCGAAAAAGGTCGGTTGTGAATCAGATGGCCGCGATTCTCGTGCTCGGTCAATGAAACTTCGCGGAACTGAGATGAAACGTGGCGATAATAAACAGAACACTTGATGCTTCACGATGAGTCGTTATGCAGTTAAATAACGGGATCGGGTTTTATTTTTCGATACGAATATATTCAGTGGACAATTTAATACAGTATCTCAAAAGGAAAAACCACGTCCGAGAGACGAAGAAAGGGCGAAGCTTATTCATTGAAGAAATGAGAGGCTATATAAAAAATGCAATTTCTGGAGGCTATTAAAATTTCTATGCCTATTAAATGCGGTGTTATCCTCTTTTTTCAGTTGCTTTTCTGTATTTCATTGTACTGTATTTCTAACTGTTCTTGGAATTTGAACTACACAAGTACATTTGTGTTTGCCTTTAGGTTCGAAATTCAAATCCAAACCTTAATACAAATCATATTTTAATTACGGTGTAATGAACTTGTGGATAGGGTATATAAATTGGTTAGAAACTCTTCTTCATGGACAGTAAGAAAATTATTGAATATTTTGGAAATTCGACAATTTTGTTCCTCCAAAAATGCAGTTAAATAGAACATTCTCTTTAAATGTAATGTTCCTGGATTTTCTTGTCGACCGCTGCTCAGAAATTCGACCGCTGTTCGTTATTCGGAAGCACACGCTGAAGTTCTGCGCAGAAATAGCCTGCCGGAAAAGGAAAAAAAAAATTTGGAGAAAATTTGGCACAAGAAAAATTCCGTTCCAATTATGACATACACTGCACGTTTGTTTCATGCAAGCTCACAGGGACGAAAACAACCGCAACTATTTTCACCATCACGCCATGGGACTTCGTGCATGTGCAGAAGGAGAAAGAAAAAAACGAATTGATTTCAGGGGGGCTTTCAGAAATTTCGAAATTTTGCATGCGCAAGGATTTCTGCAAAGTGCATCTTTTTATACTTATAGGATAGAACAGACAAGTTATAAAAAATACAGGCAACGACGAAGCTGCTTCATATTTTAAAGCTTAAATGACGTGTGAAGTACGCTACGCATTTAGTCATGACAATTTTCAACTCATCCGCCAAAAATTATAAATCCACTCGCCCAAATCGTTACAAGTTAAAATTTCGATTTTAAAGATAAAACAATGCTCATGTTGAATTTTAATATCATTTTCGTTTACAAGCAAGAATTATCCTGATTTTATTTGGCACATGACTTTTGATAAGAAGGATAATCGGCACAGAAAACAATCAAGTAATTTCCAACCAAGGTACTCCTTGCAGAATTCCTAAACCTACCTATAAAATAAAACAGCATGGGAAAATTAAAGACCCAATTGCAAAATTAAGTCAGAAAAAAAACAAAAGCTGCAGCGTGCATTGTATTCCAATATGAATTATTGAAACTTTAATTTTTCCTATGACCTTTGAACGGTAGTACCGGTAATTTTTGCCCACATCTGAAAATGATTCGTCCTTCAAAATATCAATAGCATGATGGAAACACATAAATTCCGAATGTGTCCTTGATTCTTATCTGGCACATGACAAATTTTGCGTTGCATGATACATTCCATGCAATTTTCCTCAATAAAGGCAAAACAGGCAAGTACTGTATATCAAGTAGAGAAAACCGTACGAATTTTCACATGATTATCCGAAATACAGTATATTCATATATTGGCGGGACTTAATTGGAGGAAAAAATGTAAACAAAGAACTCGTCTCAAGTAAAACAAAAATTTCTGAATTTTTTCCAGGGACCAGATAAAAAAAAATCGAGAAAGCATGAAGTCGTTGGTAAAGCACTATACAAACTTAAAGCATGTAAGTATTTCACTAATATCAGATTCCAGCACTTTACATTTGCCCAGAACTTAAGAATTTGCCACACCCTTGGGCTTCAACCATAAATACGGAAATAAACTTGGCAAGGGTGCCTCTGAAGTTGGAAATCCGAGCCCCACGAGCACCGGGTTATTCATGGACCAAAATGGAACCAATCCCCCACGTCTCTGTTTTTCCTTTCCCCGTGTTCCTGGGTTCATGCCACCAGCATAAAACCAAAAAGCCAATTCTTTTGTTTGTTTTTTTACTCCGACGGCACAGAACCTCAAAAATACAACATAGTTATCTGAGAGTCAGACACTTCTGCAAATAATTAAGTAGTAAAACCAGTTTTCCCAGATTCCATAGCTAGGTATCACGATTGATAGTGAGGCTGCTAATCGTCGAATCATGCAGTACCAAACTTTAAAAACAAATCAAATTATCAGACGTAACAAAGGCACATCTGGGAACCTTGAAAATGAGTCTCACCAGAGGTGGACGGCAGGAAAATCAACTCATTACTAATTCAGACCTCGTCACACTGAAACAACCATGTATTCATCTATTCCCTTCGCTCCTGGCTCCTTAAAAACAATTCAAGAACAAATAAGAAAATATAAAAGGAAGAAAGAATGTAGAAGTTCACACTGCCTATTCAATACGGTTCCAATTTCCGGGGAGGCGAGAGAAACGAGTGGTGGTACAACTTGAAGGGGAACAAAACGTCGCCAGAAAACGCGGAAGTGATATACGCACTGCAAAAGGATTCAGATTGATGCGAACACTTTTGAATAAAGATTGTCGATCAAGAGATTTTAAGCATTAAAATTAAAGACGTTTGATTTATCATCATAAATTCCGTTCAAAAGACAGTCCATTTTTAGAACCACTTCCATATGCCTGTAGAGTTATTTGTTTTATTGATTAAAACATATACCAAAGTTGACCCTTTCTGCTAACAATCTCCAGGGAGCCATAAAATAAATCTATATAAACAGTACTGCATTGAAAACATTGTGGTACAGGTGGTAACAGCAATTCAACCCTAATCTGTTGCCAAACTAGGGTCAAATTGCAACAGACACTCCATAAAATTCAAAATCTAAGTTTAAAAATGAAAAAAATGGAAAAAGCAGGTCAAAGTGTGGGGCAAGGGTTGGATTACAAGTCAACCTCCCTGCAAGTACAACTGTCAAACTGCGGGACAGTTGAATTACAGGTTGGTAAAATTGTGGGAGGTTGAATAATGAGGTGCCACCTGTGTAGCCTAGGATTTCTGAAATCATGTAGTACTACAGGCAAACCTTGATAACTTAAGCCTCCCTAAGTTGAATACCCCCCTAAGTCAAATTTTTTTCAGGTCCTGTCTGAATCCCATTGGAATTGATAGGTTTAAAACCTCAAGCCGAAAGCTTTTCCCCTCAAACCCCCATAAGTCAAATTTTCTTTGACCTGTTGGCTTTTATTTCCTTGACACATGCAAGAAAAAAAGCAATAAAAACATGAATTAATTTGTTTTAAAAGGGGGTGAGAGACTTAATTGGGAAAATGAACTCTGCCTCCAAGTTCATGATGCTTTCAACTCATTTAAGAAGTTATTTCAGCCTTCGAATATTACAATTTACAATTTTGAGCAATTTTTCTATGTTTCCCAGGACAAAAGGACTTTTTATTGTAGCTAATTCAAGAACTCCCTAAGTCAATTTTTTTGCTGGTCCCTTGAAGTTTGACTTATAGAGGTTCAACTGTACTAATGGTACACTCGTATGCATGTGGGACCTTTTTAGGGCATAATTTAGACTTGTTGCTGAAATGACAAAAACATATACGCAAATTTAAAGGGACTATGAATTCCGTTATTGTTACAGATTTTAGTCAGCTATTCAAGAAATGCAGCCTAAACATTTTTATTTTATTTTTGCCTCTGGGGCTCCGCGGGGAATTTTTCAAGGGTCCCACGAGTAAAACAGCTCGAGAATCTGTTGCTTAACAAGCAAAACAAATCACGGTAAATAAAAGAGTTCCATCACTATATAGCCTGCCTGCCTGTCTTACACACGCAGGAAGTGCGTAAATTTGAGGGAACAAAGCAACTGCGATGAGTTGCAAAGAACGCAGTAAGGTTTTGACCCAGAGCCCAGTATAGGGAAGTGAAGTGCTGGACAATAAGAGACCCAACTGAACTCCAGTCACGTCCATTGAGGACCTTGAAATAACTACACGCGGCCCGAGGAAGACATCGTAACTCCCCGTGTCCGTCGTCTCAGCTGTGTGAGATGCGGCAGAAGAACGGAATCAAGGGCCCATGTAACACTTAGACCTTTCCTTGTTTAAAATGAATCTCTGATTTTAATTGAGTGAAGAACTGTGGTTACTTTTTGAATGTAATGGCAGTGCATAAAGCTCAGTTGTTGGAATACACTCTTTGATTAATGTTTTTCTGAATTTTACCTTTAGAAAATTTTGCCTGACACCAATTAAACATTTCTCCCTTATATCTTAAGGGAGAGACTACCTTGCTTAACGTTTTTTTCAGCTAACATTTTTTCCCGCTGCACCAACTAAAAACGTTAGGCAAGGGTTGACTGTACTTGATTATAATGGGAAATTTTGGATCAAGTTTCACAAAAAACCATTTTTAAATGGAAACAATTGAAAGTTAGTTGAATTCATTTCTAAATTAAAATTTGGATTTTATCATTTTTGAAGCATTGCAGGTTTCAGAGTCACTAAAATGGGGTGCATGTCTTACTTGGTGACAAGATTTTATCAAAATTTCCAACTGAAAAACCCCCAGTGCATGTCTCACTCAAGGGCATGTGGCACTTGAGTAAATGTGGTATTCAAATCTATGCAGGTCGCATTTTGAAACCAAGTACCCATTCCAGGGTTAACTGTGCATAGGCCACACAAGAATTGGACAATTTTGAGCAAAAACGTCTGCCCTGGTGGTCTTTTAATTTAAAAATTCAAAGGAATATCACGGGAAAGTTCAATCTGCTGTGCTGAATTGGTCAGAGTTAATTTCAACAAGTCAACTGAGAAACTAAGCATACAATTACGGTGGGACCCCAACATACGGACACCTATAGATTTGCACACAATTTGACTTAGGGACACTTGGAGCTAAAAAAAAAAAAAAAAAACTGTCCTGACATCCAGACATTGTATTGAGACAAAGACACTTTTCCAACAGTTTTAGAAAATGGAAAATTGTATGTTTCAAAATTTGAAAATATTTTGAACCATTAATGGAATAACTATACCTTGTACAGTGTTCACAACAATTACAAATATTTTTCTAAAAAATGTACTCAAATTCGCGATCAAAACAGGCTGATTTTCTGCAGTTTTTAGAGTTCCTTCCATCATCAGCTGTCTACAGTATAGCAAGACATGTTCTTCTTCTTTGCTTCTTTGGATGTCAAAAGATCAGATTATGTGCGGTTTTCTTCTGCACAGTCATTTTTTGGTCATGAGGTTGAGAACTTTTTTTATTCTTCTTGGGGGACTTATTATTCATAAGTTTTGATAAACTGGAAAAACAATTGAATGAGTTCCCATTGAAGTCTATGGGAAAACCTGATCCAACATGCAGACAAGGTCAAAGCATTAATTACGTCCGCATCACAGGGACCAAATGTTCATAAAGAACTTGGAAAGCTCCAGAATTTTGATGTCTAAATACACACGCTAAAAGAAACATTTTCCAATAAACGAGTTTATTTTTCCCATTATCTATCGGAAAACAAACTTATATGCAAATATGAAGGATGAAAGTACAAAACCCCTTCCGATGTGAAAGTAAGAGCAGTTGTACTGTAATTAATGGACTCAGATGCTCCTTCCGGGAAATTTTCCTCAAATTTCCAACAATCACGCGTGTTTTTCACGCACTTCTTTACAGAAAATGGATTATTACTGTATTCCAACTGCCATGCATAAAAGTTTTCCGTTTTTCTCCATGCAGATTTTTAAAAAATGCGTTACTGTATACCCATAAGCTCTAAAATCGCGGGTTTGCACTAAATTGCTTTCAAATGAAGGTGCGGCCGTATTCGAAATTATGCATAATTTTTCTCATCGTGATGGAATCAGCAGCTGATGCATAATCAATTTTCTTGAATGGCGCTAAGGACCATATTTTTTTCGCACTAGACATTTTATTGCAGAAATTTCTCGTAACTTTGAACGATCCTTGCGTATTTTTCGAAGTGAAATTCCGTGAGCTGTCTAAAAAAATTCCCTTCAATATCTCAGCCCAGGCTTTCTTTTTAAAATCTTGAAAAACTACACAAATGTGTAGAAAACTTCTTTCTTCCTATATATGTAGCTTTAAGTTATGCATGTTGGAAAACTCAAGAGCATGGCACTAAAATGAATTTGAATACGCGGGCAGGCCCGAGACCGACTAAATCGGTTCAATAAACCTAAGTTCATTGTTAAGCTGGAGAATCTGACGTCATTGTATGAAATATTGATTAGAAACCGGAATACTGTATATACTACTGTAAGTTTACATACAGTATCATGAGCTACGGTATCCCGAACATTCACGAAGTCTCTTAATTCTTGCTTCATATCTTGATAACGTTTGCCAACTCAAAATTGAAATTCGTCAGCATTCTGATTCTAATCATTTGCACAAATGCAGTGCCGTCTGAGAGATCATTTTCAATTGTAAGACCAAAGAAGCGTACCGTATTCAAAATCGATAGATAAATCAGCGCTTTTCAACGCGTGATATACTGTACTGTACTGTACCATGAATTAATGCTTCTATAATCACACACCCTGATGAGGGGGGAATTTTCAGAAAATCTGAAGTCGAGGTCAATATTGAACGCTAACAGTTTCCTTGGCCAAAAAATAAACACCACGAATGAAGAGATCTTTTATATGTAAGACTATTTAGAAAAATGCTTTACCATAAGAAAAAACCCTAATTAACTGATCTAAATAATTTGAGAAAATATGCCCTTTTCCTCTGACTTGAAATAAAAAGTAGTTACGTTAAATATAATCAAAATTCATATTTTTATCTATTTCACCAGCTTGAGTATATACTCACTATTCTGACTTGTGAATTCCGCCATAAAATTCCTGCACAATATCTAAAAATGACGAAATCCAACGCATTTCAAGCTTCAAAGCACAAATTTCATGATAAACGTGGATCTTATTTGAAAATATGTCATTATAAGACCACACAGCACAGCCTTTCTTGGGATAAAATGAAAACAACACCTTTTCCGATTTGTTTTTCTATACAAAAAGTGCTAATATTTCCGGCGTATCACTTATTGGCCACGTGGTCAACAAACACTGTGTGGTATGGAAGTGGCACTATTTATCAACTCGAAAAATAAGTTACAAGAAGAAAAGTCACAGTTTGAGCTATATATTGCATTGGGAATTTTGAATGACGTGCTGCTCACCCAAGTTTGAAGTGAACTTGGCGTCGTTGCAGCGATGCACTACCTTGGTGACAGCCCTGCCAGCCATTTTGCAACTCATCAGCGTCGCAGGAGACACAGAATTCGGCTGGCCTTGGTCAGCCGAAATATCTCCGCCAAACAAGGGCCTCATTGTTTTGTTCTTTTTTTTTTTTGCAACAGCAAAAATTCAGATGAAGATTCTCACTTCACAAATGCAAGAGGCACTGGATGAGCAACTCCCTTTCCGTCAAAAAGGATTCGCGCTGCGTATCACCAGTGCTGATTTATTTTTGTTTTCGCTTTCAGCAGAAAATTGATTTTCGCTCGCCAAAATATTGAGAGAAAAAAAGCTCGCCTCGCACCTTCTTGTGGGAACTGTCGCGGGCTCGAGCCAGGCAGAGACACAGAAGTCCCGTGTGCGTTCGCCACGCGCTTTTGTTTATAAGCTCAGCTGACCCTGACGGTCCAGAACACGTTCCCGCGGGTTGCGTTCCAGGAATCTGCTCCGCCTCACCTTTGTGCTCTCCTGGTTTCAACTGGGGTGAGGAGAAAATACTGTACTGTACCTACAAATAAGTACTGGTGGCCTCTCTCTCTCGCTCTCTCAATAACAAAACTCAGGAGACCAGAAAATAATCTGGTGTAGAGAGAATTTTTATGCAAAAATTCCCGTGTATGGGACCACAACGATTCATAAAGAGTTGAACCTCTCTAAGTTTAATTTCAAATGAACAGCAAAAAAAATGAAGTTAAGGAGGTTTTGAGGGAAACAAGCATTTTTGTTGTGAAAAAGCTAGATGGATTGCAGGAAATTGTAATTGGTGACACTCTGGACCTTGAATTGCTTCTTGATAGAGCTGACAGGATTCTGATTATGGAGACAAAGGTTCATCTGCCCAATTAGTTTTTCAATTCCTTTAAAAACACATCAAGTTACGTTTTTATTGACTTTCTCTTTCCTGTGTCAAGAAAACAATGGGTACCGTGCAATTTGACCTCCAGCAATTCAACTCTCCCAAAATTTGAAGATCAAAGTTGCAGCAAGATCAACTTGCAATTCAAGCTCTGCCCCAGAAGTAGACCTGCTTTGGCCACTTTTTTTTTGCATTTTATGCTGATATTTCTCAATTTTATAAAATGGTTTGCACGTGGACTGCTTTCCAATTCAACCCTAGTCCAGGAATGGATTAATAGGGTCAAATTTCAGGGTACCACATGGTACCTGCAATGACTACTCTGCAACATGTGTTGATTTAACATGTTTTTTTTCACAAATTTCTACCAATGCAAGTATCCATTAAAGTAAGAGTTAATCTCACAGCCGTAATCCTGAAACAGTTGATTTTTTTGTTAAACTGCCAAAAACTGTTTCTTTCAAAATTTAATTCAACTTTCAAGTGCACTTGTATCTTCACCCCCATTAAGATTTTAAAATATGATTTTTGGGTACTGAAAACTGAAGTGCTGCATGTCTTATGCAGTAATAGAATGGTTCAGAATTGGAACTAGGAATAAATGTGTGCATCTTACTCGAAGGCATGTGGTACTCAAGGAAATACGGTATAAGAGTATAGAGGCCATACTTCTTCTTTTTTGTATTTTTATATTTCGCATGACAGCAATTAACCGGTTAATGCATAGGCCCTTACTGCTGCGCAGAAAAACGACGACGTCGGGGAGCCTAGATCTTATCCCGCTGATGTCGACTCGAAACCGCTGAATTATTTCCTCGACGTCTCTCGCGATGCTGGATGATTACAGAACTTTTTTTTTACCTAGTTACTTCTGAGCCGACACTGTTGCGCTAAATTTGGCACAGTTCGATTTTTTTTTTTTTTTGCTGCAGCTTCTGATAGGCATGATTTGTTATTGGGACACAGACAGAGACGGAGGGAAAATTGAATTCTGTATGCTCTGCGCTACTTTCGAAAAAATACGCAGTTAATTGTCTGTGTGAGAGATTTCGTTTCGCAAAAAAACATTTTCATTTTCCTGCTCATCGCGGAAGGTAGAAAAATAGAAGCCAAGAAAAAACTGAAGTCCTGGAAGCTAATGTATATTTATAATACTTTTCTACGGTATAAAAAATTGAATGGAGAAAGAATACACTTTTGAAAGAGGCAATTTAGCATTGGTTTTCTCACCTGCGGCATTGCGTGATTCAAGGCTTGACGTTTCCCAGAATAGATAGAGCGACATCTTGAAGATATAAAGCCAAAATGTGTCTTGAGATATTGTTCCATTCCAGCGGAGGAAGAGAAAAAATAAATTCAAATATCACTTGAATTATTGCCGTGTTTGAATTCTCTAATAAACGTGTTGGCATTAATATTTCATAAAATATTCGAAAAATTACTGTATGTATAAAATTTTCAGATGAATATATTTCAAAAATAATATCTTCTGATATACGAACCAACAAAGAATTGATTCAAATATAAGTAAATTACTTTTTGTAATATACTGAAATCATCAGCTCTCGTGCATGAATATGATCCCCAAGGCCAACTGAAGGAAAATTTGCGTAGAAAAAAGCATGATTTATACAGTACTTCAATTATTTACAACAATGGACAATGAACTTCAACTATTTACAACAATTGATACTGTAATTTATAATTAAACATGCCGATTTTTTTATATTTCTGATAATATCATTAAATTTGAAATGCTGTACTGGAGATAGACAGTGATTTCTTCCGAATGGCTGAACCATCAGAATTCTGAAGTCAGAAAAGCGCGGTTCCTGTTCATTTGATAATCAATTTGATACCTATATCCCGTCTAATTGCAGTCAAGTCTTTCAAATTAAAAAAGTGTATTATTTCACCAGCTTAACTTTGTTTTCCTTTTTTCAAGTGTCACCTGTACAAGCGAGTGTGACAAGAGACGTTAAAAGTTTAAGATTTTTTCCCTTAAAATGAAGTTAGTGGGACGAGTGAATGCCCCGTAATGCGTCATTCCGCCCACGTTTCATGTCACATGATGTCTGAAACAAGTCTCCCCTCTTGTTTCAGTGCCAAGATTTTTTAAAATTTGATTCTTTTTGTATCAAACGCATGTGCAAGGTTTAAGAACATCATTCGTCACGAGGCGGAAAAAAGTTTGTGGACAGTACTTTTTTGTGAACACAAATCAGTGTCATCAGTCTCATCACAAACATTTCCAAGAACGTGAGTCAATTTCACCGCAATCTATTTCTGCTGAAATTCGTAATTCATTTGTGACGAAATTTCTGAAATGTTTTATCTTTAAATGTATTCGAATGACCTCCCGATTAACAGAAGTCAGGGGTTTTTCGAAATTTCGAATACAGTATATAACTTATAATTTATATAAATTATAAATTTAATTTATAAATTCATGAGAACCTTTCCTAGTTTTCACAACGCAAAAGAATTCATAATTAGGAAGAAGCATTTCGCTGCGCAAATCCTTTCGGCGAACATTCCGTTTTTTTTTTTCAAGGATCTTCCGAGAATTGAAACACTTACCTGAATAAAAACAAACATTTTTGAAGATTGAAAGAAAAGCGAGAAAAACCAAGGAATGAATGAAAAAGTCTGATGAGATTCAAACGTTCGCTTCGCATTTGGACCCGTTCCAACGGAAATGCGTTTCAAAAGCGAAAAACTACGCGTTTTTTTTCTATTTGCTTTCCTCATGTATCCGTTTTGGAAGAAAGTATTGTCTTGTGCTACTTTCTTCTGAAGTAGGTTAACTGATTCACGCTTGAAAACATTTTTAAAGTTTTTTAATGAAAAAAAAAACAAAACATGCAGGTTCACTCCAAGTACAACATTGGTTCGTAAACTGTTATGCTCGTCATGCATGAGAGTCTAAATACAGACGGACGGAAATAGATGCAATTTTTGCAGATTCGTGTGGATCGTGTCAAAGGTAATTTCTTCGTTAAAGTTCTAAAAAATTCTAAAAATCGGAAAATTATGAAATTTAGAACGTCACAGATCACCATCATGAGAAATCAAGGTTTACTTGCCGCAAAGTAATTTTTAATTAATTTTCAGGTTTATACTTATATGTTTCTGCATAAACAATTGCAAGAAACTATTCAGAAGACGACATATTTAAATTGCCAAAATTCAAGATCTCAAAACCGATTTTACGCATGGAAAAAAATGCTCCGAAGTCAGAAATTCAGATTTTTCCCCCTGATTAAGAAATAATTTACATAAATGGCGCCATAATTTGTGAGCTAGAATTTTCTAGATTCTGGATTGTAATAAAAGTTATTTCTTCAGAAAGGAAGCGAACCTTTTTCCTTTCCACGTTCTAACAAAATGTCGATACTGTATGTGGAGCTTTGTAGCATTGAATAATGCATAAGGTTATATGGAAAACTGCTCGTGTTTTTAAAACGAATCCTCTTTTTAAAATTAATTATTATCCCGAAACAGCTTGAAAAGCCCTGATCTGGCTCACCTCAAACGTTTTCGACGTCGCGAATAAAAACGCGAAAATTCTACAAAAATTGAGTTTCATTATCATTGCGATCATTTTTCACCTGATCAATCAAGGCAACAGGATTTACAAATATCTTTTAAATCATTGCAACACGTCTATCACGAGGTAGGATGAGTGCAATCATGAGCCAAGCGATTATTGCCAAGCACGAAAAATCTCGTCGCCCAGCAGCAGCATTGCGATGCGAATGATCATCATCATCAGCATGATCGTGATCATGATCATCATGATCAGCTCCATTTTTATCATCATCGGCAAGAAATTGTTTGCTGGCTCGACTCGCGCCAATGTTGACAGCGTCACTGTCAGATGTGAGCATAAAAATTCGCGCGGGTCCCCCGGATCCTCGCACAATTTTCACTGGCAAAATGACGACTTTGTAGAAGCCAGAGGAGAATTTTTGCAAATTGGCGACATTTTCGAGGTTGTAGACGTCATTCTGGCCTGCGACTTGATGGGTTAAGAAGTCTTCCGAGTTTCCTGGGTCTATTGCAATTTTTGCTGTGTTCCAGGGAAGGGGTTACATGGAAGGGTAGAAAAACTCTCTCTCCTGGGTGAATCCCATGGAGATTTTGAAACATTTGGGCCTCTGTTGAGGCCTCTTTTGATTCAGGCTTTAATGGTGAATAACACAAGCAAATTTTGAGTAATTTTTCCAAATTTTTCCACAAAAACCAAAAAAATTGCATCAAAAAAGTTTGTTATAACGGAATTTCCAAGTTTGCTATAACGAGATTTTTTTAACATGTAGTCTATAGGATTTCTGCCTGGACTTGAAAAAAATTTTGTTGTATTGAAAAATTTGTTGTAACGGTATTTGTTGTAATGAGATTTTACTGTAGCTGCAATTTTTGCAGATTCGTGTGGATCGTGTCAAAGGTAATTTCTTCTTTAAAGTTCTAAAAATTCTAAAAATCGGAAAAATATGAAATTTAGAACGTCACAGATCACCATCATGAGAAAACAAGGTTTACTTGCCGCAAAGTAATTTTTAACTGATTTGCAGGTTTACTTATATATTTCTGCATAATCAATTGCAAGAAACTATTCAGAAGACGACAAATTAAAATTGCCGAATTCAAGATCTCAAAACCAATTTTACGCATATGGAAAAAAAATTCTCCGAAGTCAGAAATTCAGATTTTCCCCCCTGATAATGAAATAATTTGCATAAATGGCGCCATAATTTGTGAGCTAGAATTTTCTCTATTCTGGATTGTAATAAAAGTTATTTCTTCAGATACTGTATGTGAAGCTTTGTAGAATTGCATGAGGTTATGTGGAAAACTGTTCGTGCTTTTAAAACAAATACTCTTTTTTAAATTAATTATTATCCCGAAACAGCTTGAAAAGCCCTGATCTGGCTCACCTCAAACGTTTCGACGTCGAGAATAAAAATGCGAAAATTCTACAAAAATTGAGTTTCATTATCATTGCGATCATTTTTCACCTGATCAATCGAGGCAACAGGATTTACAAATATCTTCAAATCATTGCAACACGTCTATCACGAGGTAGGATGAGTGCAATCATGAGCCAAGTGATTATTGCCATGCACGAAAAATCTCGTCGCCCAGCAGCAGTATTGCGATGCGAATGATCATCATCATCAGCATGATCGTGATCATGATCATCATGATCAGCTCCATTTTTATCATCATCGGCAAGGAATTGTTTGCTGGCTCGACTCGCGCCAATGTTGACAGCGTCACTGTCAGATGTGAGCATAAAAATTCGCGCGGGTCCCCCGGATCCTCGCACAATTTTCGCGCCGTTTTACTGCTGAAACATCTTCGGTCTCCTCTTAAAAACGTTTAACCGCTGTAAAAGCTCCAACATCTGCAGTAAGACCGGACGCTGAACTACCCAATTCTTCAGAAGGCTCAAAGGACCCAGATCTGAAGCCGTGTCTATTCCCAGGCCAGCAACTGAACGTTCTTCGATCAACAGCTTCGCTGCCTCTGCGGAATAACCTATAGGAAATGCGAAAATATTTTTATTTTTCAACAAGAATAACATGCTTCGATGGGAAAATTGACACGTATGCCTTAAAAATAGCTACAAGAGCTAGAAACAAGTACACAGATATAATTGAATGATCGAAAGTAGCTTTTCGGGAAAGTTCTGTTTGCGCGACATCTATGAAAACAAATTTGAATTCGTTTGTGTCATTTGTATAGATCCCACAAGAAGGCACGAGTGCATCGAAAAAGATTTTTCTGCCCCATAGATGTCACTAGTGAAGGAATCACGTGACCTCAAACCGCTCAGATGTCTTCCGACACCTTTTTTGTTTGACAAAAGCAGCAATGTTTTTCGGATTTCAATCGACGCTTATTCAATTTATCGTCACACGTCATATTAGTGTCGAGCATTACAATTTCGGGCGGTATAAAAGCCCGTTTATACATTGTACAGGAGTTCCAAAGGGTCCAATCTGAATGATGTTGGACAAATATGCTGGTTAGCTTTGAAATGCTGCTGGAAAACAGTACTGTACTGTACAGGGATTTAAAGTTTTCTTCTTATACAGAGATCGTCATTACGATGGTTTAATTTCTTATAAATCCCATCAAGTTGATGATAAGATGAAGTTTTTATCATGAGACAACCTATTAAATGAAATTTTAAATGAGAGAAGTACGAAGGAAATTTGCCATTGAATTTTTCTCATTTTCATTCAGTAATACGAGCCTTTTCCCGACGAGAAATTTAAATCATTGCAAAAGAGCAGAGTTAATGCATAACGGATCCGAAGTTGCGATTCGATTCCCTTTGTAAATCAATTTTTTTCAGTCCCAGTACTGCTTTCATTCATATTTAAAAAAAAATTACGGACAGCAAGGTTGAATCCTCGAGGTATCGTTTCTGCAAAAAATATTGCAAGATATTTTGGAGAGAATGTACTGAGAAAAAACCCAGAGAAGGTTTTTCCAGCTCTAGAAACTTTAATGGTGATTAAAAATTAATTTACACTCAAACTTCATTGAGAAGAATCAACTCGACTTTCTTTTATTCCTTCCTTATTTTTAAATTTTTATAGCTGTGTTCGGATTTTTACAAAAAGTTGTCCGTATTCTCCTCTGTGTTGTGATTTTAGTGTTCCTTGCAAATTCCGTCATTTCAAATCTACACTATAAATCATTATGACAAAACTAGGAACATATATTCGAAATGTCTCCATTAAGTATCTGTTCTTCACTGCAAATTGCACGATTGATTACCTGTGTCCTATTTGTTCATCATCTGTTATTTAGCTGGGTTTCAACAAGGGTTCGCGAATTACTTGAACAGCGATTGAAAGCTGAAGCATTTTGAAAACAGCATTATACTAGACAAATTTATGATTATACTAGACCATAGCATGCTTTTATGTGGTGTTGGCGACACAAAATAAAAATAAAAGTTGAGAAAAATCTTAATGATCTGTTGATCGGACACCTGGAAAATGTAATTTTGTCGTATCGTTGTAATCCGGAGTCCCATAGTAGTCTTCCATCTTGGGTAATTTGGAACTCCACCCAGTTTTGAGAAATACGATAGACCCCTCAGGAATGCGTCCAAATTTGGCTTCCCACTCGGTAACATGAGTGTCAGTCAATACAAAGTCCGGACTGCCCCTTGCTTGCGACTCCACATCCATCACGATTCCATCTAAACCAACACTTGAACGTTATAGCAATGATGATGATGATGATGCTAATTTTTTGGTAAATTTCCTCAGTGAAATTTAAGCCGAACCTGCAATAAAATGCTGGATCTCAATGTCAGCCGAAGAAAGTCCGTCTTTTGAAAAGTGAATCGGAGCGTCGAGGTGAGTACCGATGTGTTCTGGACTGCAGAAGCTGTACTTCAAGAGCCTGAAAAAAATGGCGGAATTAGAAAAAAACATCAAAATTTACTTTCGGAGATATTGGACATTCAGGAATGTAAAATGTGTCTGTGTGAGTCGTCATCATTCTATCATCCAATTTCTTGAATATAATTTGAACAAGAAAGTATCTAACTTAAAACATGCTGGTACCCAAATCAATGCGGGTTCGAACTTTTAGAAAATTTTGTCAATTAAAAGTCTGAATGGGCTAAAATAATTCGAGACATCCAAGCAGGCCCATGCAACAAATTAGTTGCTAAATTTGTCCATCAAGTATTCGGAGATGAGAAATGGAAAAGGAATTTTTTAAATTTAGGGAAATGATTCCAAATTTTGACAGAAGGTGAAAGCATTCTATCTTCCAATTTCTTGAATATAATTTGAACAAGAAAATTCAGCACAACCTCTACCACAGGAAGGTATTTTGTTCAAAATTAAAATTTCAGAACTTTTTTTCTAGTTTTTTTGGATGGGCTTTTTACATTTTTTTTTTTACTCTTACCAGTCCGTTTCAGATAATTAAGAATGGCATACTGTAAATATTTTTGGGTGAGTTGTCTCTGTCAATCGCCAATAAATAAAAGTAAAAATTTTGTAAGTCTTCATATCTGCATATCGTCATGAGAAGTTTCTGCAAATTTCTTTTCTCACGAAAATATATTTTTTGTAAAAGGTAGGGTGCATTTGTAAAAATGAATGGTTTGAGAGAAAAATTGATTTTTAAAATGTCAAACGTATTTCTAAAAGAAAAAAAAAAAAAAAACTCGCCAGTAGCTGACGTGGGGAGGCGGGGGTTCCACGGTCAATTGGAACATCCGGCCATTTGGCCACCTCACAGTGTTTTCAGACAGGTCATGCGCCAAGTCAATCACTGCATCTTTCGTGGCGGCCCGAAACAAGGCCGCCTCGGCGGCGTCAAAGGGCGGCTTGAGGGCGTAGACGCGAGCCGGGCCGCCGGATCCGCCGCGAATCTTCATGGGGCCAACAATGATGTAAGACCCGTTCGGAGGCAAAAGGTCCACGTGAGCCAATTGTTCCAGGTTGAACAGGTTTTCTGCAGCGAATAACCGATGAACAGTGTGGCCAACTGTTTTCGGCGACTCGATGGACACGCAATCCGTGCCGACTCCGTGGATTCGACGGGATTCTATCAGCCACTTGGCTGCTTCTGGATGAAAACCTGTGTTTTTCGAAATAACGATAAAACGTGACGAATTTAATATCTGCACACTAAAAAAGCCCGAAGATGGAGGAGAACGAGTTGTGAATTATGTGAAGCGAAAATGAAGTAAATTAGAGTAAGATTCAATGATGCTCTCACGTTGAGAAAACGGATTAGCTGGCTCACATCTGCATCGAATACATTTTATGACCCCCATTCATCTTTCAAAAATATTTGGGGCCATCTTATTATCCAAGCTTTGGAGAATGAAGGGAATTAATCTGGAGAAATTCATTTAATACAGTAATGCAAAAGAAACATATAATTTCGTCAAAAATTTCAGAATATACATGTAATATTTTTAAGAGATTCAAAATACCAATTATTAACCAAATTCAAATTAAGCGATGAATCGATCTAAATGGATCTATTCATGGCTTAGCAGGAATAGATCCATTGTAATATATTCTTTTTAATTTAAGATTGATTTGTGTGCAGTATATGCATTGATAACAATTCAAAATATATTCTTTTTTAAAGGAAATCTACGCTGTGATTTATGGTTTAAAATGTTTGAATCGAGCAGTCGATGTAAAAAATAAAATTTTTTTGCTCCTCAGCTGAATAAAATAGCGAAGAACTTCGAGTACACAAAATGAAAACTGGTCACTATATATAGCTCACGTATCTTCAAGAATAATGTGCGATAAAATATCTAATTGCCATCGTAAAAGCAAAAGCTTTCGCAATGCCATTCTAAAGGAGAAACGAGGAAAATAAAAATGTGTTCCGTACATTTTTGATGTTATTTTATGCTACTGGCGCACCTTGTCAATATGAGAAACATTGTTAGAGACTGTATATGTAAGCTATTGGAGTTGCAAAAGATACACACGGCTAACAAAGAGTACATAAAACGATGAGGAAATTACACAGTTTAGAATTCTCAATCCCTGTTTCAAGAGTATTCAAGACCCTCTTTTCCATCATCATTGCAAATTATAATACCGTATACAGTGTAGTGGGGCCCTGAGCTGTGGACGTAATTGATGCCAGGACACTGTGCCTGTGTTAATTGGAATGTCTGCATGTTGGATCACATTTTCCCTTTATATTTAATTGGTTCTCCTTCTGGGCCTAAATTAGGAAAAGCCCCCACAAATGGAATACAATAATGTTTCTCAACTTCAATGCACGGAAGATAAATTTGCAGAAGAAAACCACACATGATCTGATCTGTTGGCATGAAAAAGAGGCCGAAAAGAGAAGAATTAGCAAAAGCCTTTCTATACTTTGATCATATGATGGAAATAACTCTGAAAGAAGAAGCACAAAATTAGCCCATTTTGGATTATGAATTACATTTCAGGGAATTTTTGATATTGAAGCTCAATGTGTTCAAGAGATATCAAAATTTTGAAAAATAAAAACTTTCCATCTGCGATCTGGAAATGTAAGTAAAGTGTGGGTATATCAATAAATTGTCTGGATGTCAGGGCAGATTTTTTGGGTTATTTGAACTGTTGCCAAGTCAAATCGCCTGCATGTTGGGGCCCCACGCTGTTTATCAATTTCAGTTTCGGTTCAGGGCAATTAAAAATTACAATCACCTGGATAGGAGACAGTCGTGGCATCCATAGGCGTAGAAGATCCGTAGTACGCATAAGGATTCTGGTGATGCTGACCCCAGTTTGAGTACAAAATCACTACACTTCCGTCAGGGATTCTCCCATGACTCTTCTCCCAATCCTCCAAGTCTTCTCTTGTTAAGAAAACATTTGATGACTGTTGTGCTCTTGCACTGATATCCACTCTCACAACTGGAGAAAATATTATTTAAAAAAAAACGGCATCAGTCAGAAAAAAAGTGCGTAAGAGTTTTCCTTTGAAAGCAGGGAAACTCGCCTGGTTTCATAAACAGTCTGTCAATGGGTACTTCATCGACACTCCAGCCCTTTTCGAAGAAGTGATTTGGTGCATCGAAATGCGTCCCTCTGTGCTCACCACTGCAAAATTCATTTGATTCATACCTGCAAGAAAAAATAAATAAAACGGGGTTCCATTCAATATCTTTGGACAGGTTGTCTGCAAGCAATTGTCCACAGAGACCCGTGTCTATTTACAGAAGTTTGTAGCTGGTCTGTGGGAACATCTTTTTCATCATAATACATTCATCAAATTTATAGTAATAAAGTTTGTTGTCTTCATCTGAAATTTTGGAAAGACATTGGCATTAGAAATGACCTGATGTGAAATAAAAGTTGGGAAAAAAGGACATGTCATATGACATTATTGTGAAGTCTGTTTAAAAGACGATATTCTTTAATAAAATTCATTTATAAGACTCTTTGGAAAGAACTTCGGGTCGAACGATTAAAAACTTCTGTAAGGGTTGCTACTTATATAGCTGCTTCATTGATTCTGATTTTTGGCAAAACAAGTTTTGGTTGATGATTTTGTGGTCGGTATTTTAAAAATTGCTGCTGCTGGTGTCATTTTACGGAAATTTCGTGGGTTTAAATATATTGGGGAACACTTTTTATAGGCAACCTAGTAAAAATTGTCAACAATTATCCTTGACGAGGAGCGTAGTGTGCCTCGATTTTTTATTGTTGCAGGATTCATGCATATTCGGTTGAAGAATTCTCTTTGGGGGGAGGGGGATAAAAATTTTATCGAAAAGATTGCGTCATCCGAACTCCGGACTTGGTGATAACGAGACTCAACTGCAATTATACGAAACTTCAAATCTTCAACTACAGTATCACAAACTTACGATATATCTTTGGAAAAAAATGCGGAGGTCAGTCTTGAACAACATTCGCGAACCAACGGGAACAAAAATGCGTGAAAATGGCCTTTATATTTTTAAAATTGACCGTGAAGCATTATTTCCATTCTTATTTTTCTCCTCGGGAACAGGCGAAACAAATTGCCCAAGCTGGCTGGATCAGATTACAATCGCACCCGCGGGGTTTCTGTTCTCTCCAGCCAAGTTTGGAGCTCATTTAGAAAAGAACCGTGAATTTGTGATGGCATCTCAGCAGTGGAAAAACGTCTGCTGACTCGTTCATACTATGGGTAACTCACTGACTTGAGGATCTCAAAAAATTTTGAGTATTTGTGTGGAAGAGTTAAAAGCGTAGTTCTTAAAAATACTAAGGGTAACGGAAATCACACGAAAATATCTTTTTAGTTGAATAACAAACCCCCAGGCAATGACACCATTAGCCTGGGGAATGTTACTACATACCTAACTCAATTCTCTTCACTGCAAATACTGACCCATATGTAGGTACCGCAGGATCCCCCATCCTCAGAACCCATCTGAACCTTGCGGGAGCAACAGCTTGCGCGGGGATACCCCTTGTGGTGGGTATTAAGGCCTATGAGTATGATACCCACTGAGCAACTGAAATCCCCAGTTTTTTTGTCTGAACTTATGAATGCACCTTCTGAAGTCTGGGGGGAAAACTTCTATTAGAAAATGCGCACAAAACTTTGGATAACAAGTATGATACAATACTCATGTATGATACCCCAATTCTGATACCATTGAGTGACTGTGGACTCCTGCTTTTTTGGCTGTACGCACAAATGCACTTTCTCAATTTTTATAGATGCACCTTCTGAATTTTGATTCCAAAAACTTCTCATGATTTGTGCCTTACGTGTATTATTAGAAAACACAAACAAAGTGTTATTGGATAAAATGTGCCATGCATGATGACTCCCATGCATGAATTACCATATTAAAAGCCTTCAGTGGCAGGACTCCTTAGTTTTGTTGTTGTCTGAACTTACAAACGAACCTTCAGTTAAGACAAGTCTGTGAAAAGTACGAAAGGACACGGAGTTTACATAAAAATCTATTGCACATGTTTTAAAACCTACTGTTCACGGTTCTTTACATGTGGTGGAGTGTGTCCTTGAACAAGAGCGTGTGATTTTTTTAAATGGATCAAAAGTAAAACACAACTTCAGCTAAGGGGTTTGGTTAAGAATTCCTGAAGAAAGAAAAATAAAGATTGTACTTTGCTTTGTTAAACACACAGAATTCCTAGAATTAAAGGACAATTCATTGCACACTTTCACACGCCAACTTTCAAGAAACTTTCTTGTCAAAGTGCCACAATACCAAAATGTCTGCTTTTTTAAATTGCAGGTACATCCACTGACATGTCAGGTGAACTTTTTCAATTTTACAGTTCATGACCACACAAAACATGTTGCTTGTATTGGCGTAATTATAACATAACGTTAAAAGGTATACACGTGGTTATTTATTCGTGAAGTTTTGTTGAAATATTCTTTTATGACGCATTTTTTCATGCAAAGTCGCTTTTAAGGAAATTATTCTGCGATAGACGTATCGGAAAATGGCAAATGCAAGATACATGGATGATGAAGTGTAACCGTCTTGGCATGTGTTAAAACCTCATAATCTTGAACAATAAATCAAATGTCTGGATAAATTGCACCAAACGAGAACTCCACAAAAATATTTGTCTGGAACAAATATTCTTACAACCGCATAATTAATCCATCTGATGGCACACTTCGAGACACTAAACTAATTCCTCACATAGAGTCAACACAAAGAAAAACGAAAAAGATTATAGAACTCGAAATAAAACACTGCACTCTCGGTGCCGCAATAATAAAAAAAATCCCTTGCAACCTTCAACTGAACTCGCTCTTGTTGAGTGAATTAAAGCAGTCTCAGCAGGGAACATCTTCAAAAAAAAAAATCCCTTGCGAGAACAAGTTCCTGTGTGAGGTGGTGTACATTTCTTGGCACTTGTCATCCAAAATTTTGTACACGTTATCTAAAAATACATTTGAGGCACAGGAAAGCATGAAAAGTGTCTGAACAGAATTGATAAAAAAAAAAAAAAAGCTGCAGGCATCGTGAAGTTGATGCAGTCTTGTACAGCAGGAGTCTGTATAGTGCTGTAAAGGGCCTTCAACAAGCAGCACGCTGACAGCTTCTCAGAGAGATAATCGCCCTGAACAAGGATACGATTCCATTTCCACTGAAGTAATAAACTGTCCAAAAGAGGCCGACGAAAACATGAATTGATGCTGAACAGGGGTTTTCTTCAGTTGGAGAATTATTTTTTTTTTGCACCAAAATACAATTGAACATCCTCAAGTCAAACTTCAAAGGAAGCAGCGAAAATTCCAGTTAAGGTAAAGACCATTTGGGGGGAGGAAATAAATAAGAATCACAGGAAATTGTCAATGGTGATATTCTAGGCCTCGAATTACGTTTTGAATGACTTGGCAGGATGCTGACGTTGGGAGGCAAGGCTTCATTTGCCAAATTGATCTTTCACTTCTTTTCAAAATGCAAAAACTTGCGTTTTCATTGCTTTTATCTTTCCTGAGCCAAAAATGATAAAAGCACTTATAGGAGGGCTCCAGTTTTAGGTTTGCGGAGGAATGTTCCTAAGAGAATTCAAACAGGGTTTTGAAAAAATTGAGTTATGGAGGATGCACTGTACAATGAAAAATATGACTTGATAGAAAGCAAGATGCTAGAACAGCCCAGTGCGTAGCGAAAAAAGACTTATGCTGCTGCTGTATATTTGAAATATGTGTCGATTAATCATTAACTCGCATTTCTGAGTCAGAATTCTCCGAAAAGCTATTCTATCAATATAAATATTCACGAGTCAAGACAAACATTAGCTTATTCTGTGAAGATTTTCTTCAATCTCATAAAGAATTTTCGAAAACGTATGTTCGTGAATTGATAGTTCTTTCTGTATTACTAATGCAAACATTTTCGAGATCAGTGAGTGCTACTTAACTCACCAATCAATTTTAAAANCATTGAGTGACTGAACTCCTAGAGTTTTTTAAAACTCATAAACACACCTTCTCAATTTTCGCATCAAGAATTTTTATGATTCCCATTGCCTTTAGTGTGCTTTTATAGAAAAATGTTGAATAACAAACCCCCAGGCAATGACACCATTAGCCTGGGGAATGTTACTACATACCTAACTCAATTCTCTTCACTGCAAATACTGACCCATATGTAGGTACCGCAGGATCCCCCATCCTCAGAACCCATCTGAACCTTGCGGGAGCAACAGCTTGCGCGGGGATACCCCTTGTGGTGGGTATTAAGGCCTATGAGTATGATACCCACTGAGCAACTGAAATCCCCAGTTTTTTTGTCTGAACTTATGAATGCACCTTCTGAAGTCTGGGGGGAAAACTTCTATTAGAAAATGCGCACAAAACTTTGGATAACAAGTATGATACAATACTCATGTATGATACCCCAATTCTGATACCATTGAGTGACTGTGGACTCCTGCTTTTTTGGCTGTACGCACAAATGCAGTTTCTCAATTTTTATAGATGCACCTTCTGAATTTTGATTCCAAAAACTTCTCATGATTTGTGCCTTACGTGTATTATTAGAAAACACAAACAAAGTGTTATTGGATAAAATGTGCCATGCATGATGACTCCCATGCATGAATTACCATATTAAAAGCCTTCAGTGGCAGGACTCCTTAGTTTTGTTGTTGTCTGAACTTACAAACGAACCTTCTCAATTCTGTTCAGACACTTTTCATGCTTTCCTGTGCCTCAAATGTATTTTTAGATAACGTGTACAAAATTTTGGATGACAAGTGCCAAGAAATGTACACCACCTCACACAGGAACTTGTTCTCGCAGTGATTTTTTTAAATGGATCAAAAGTAAAACACAACTTCAGCTAAGGGGTTTGGTTGAGAATTCCTGGAGAAAGAAAAATAAAGATTGTACCTTGCTTTCTTAAACACACAGAATTCCTGGAATTAATGGACAATTCATTGCACACTTTCAAGAAACTTTCTTGTCAAAGTGCCACGATGCCAAAATGTCTGCTTTTTGAAATTGCAGGTACATCCACTGATATGTCAGGTGAACTTTTCAATTTTACAGTTCATGACCGCACAAAAAATGTTGCTTGCATTGGCGTAATTATAACATATCGTTATAAGGTATACACATGTTTATTTATTCGTGAAGTTTTGTTGAAATATTATTTTCTGACGCATTTTATCCTGCAAAGTTGATTTTAAGGATATTATTCTGCGATAGGCGTATCGGAAAATGGCAAATACAATATACAGTACTTGGATGATGAAGTTTAAACGTCTTTGCATGTGTTAAAAACCCCATAAACTCGAACAAATCAAATTTCTGGATAAATTGTACCAAAAGAGAAATCCAGAAAAATATTTGTCTGGAATAAATCTTCTTGCAACTGCATAATTAATCCATTTGATGGCACACTTCGAGGCACTAAAGTAATTCCTTATATTAAGTCCCAAAAAAAAATAAAAAGATTATAGAACTGGAATTAAAATACTGCACTCTCGGTGCCGCAATAATAAAAAAATCCCTTGCAACCTTCAACTGAACTCGCTCTCGTTGAGTGAATTAAAGCAGTCTCAGCAGGGAACATCTTCAAAAAAAAAAAAAAAGCTGCAGGCATCGTGAAGTTGATGCAGTCTTGTACAGCAGGAGTCTGTATAGTGCTGTAAAGGGCCTTCAACAAGGAGCACGCTGACAGCTTCTCAGAGAGATAATCGCCCTGAACAAGGATACGATTCCATTTCCACTGAAGTAATAAACTGTCCAAAAGAGGCCGACGAAAACATGAATTGATGCTAAACAGGGGTTTTCTTCAGATGGAGAATATTTCTTTGTACCAAAATGCAGTTGAACATCTTCAAGTCAAACTTCAAAGGAAGCAGCGAAAATTCCAGTTATGGTTAAGACCATTTGGGGGGAGGAAATAAATAAGAATCACAGGAAATTGTCAATGGTGATATTCTAGGCCTCGAATTACGTTTTGAATGACTTGACAGGATGCTGATGTTGGGAGGCAAGGCTTCATTTGCCAAATTGATCTTTCACTTCCTTTCAAAATGCACCAACTTGCGTTTTCATTGCTTTTATCTTTCCTGATCGAGCCAAAAATGATAATAGCACTTAGGAGGGCTCATCCAGTTTGAGGTTTGCGGAGGAATGTTCCTAAGAGAATTCAAACAGGGTTTCGAAAAAATTGAGTTATGGAGGATGCACTGTACAATTGAAAAATGTGACTTAATAGAAAGCAGAGAAAAAAGATTTATGCTTATGTATATTTGAAATATGTGCCGATTAATCATTAACCCGCATTTCTGAGTCAGAATTCTCCGAAAAGCTATTCTATCAATATAAATATTCACGAGTCAAGACAAACATTAGCTTATTCTGTGAAGATTTTCTTCAATCTCATAAAGAATTTTCGAAAACGTATGTTCGTGAATTGATAGTTCTTTCTGTATTACTAATGCAAACATTTTCGAGATCAGTGAGTGCTACTTAACTCACCAATCAATTTTAAAATCACCGGGTAAGAGTTTCACTTCGTCAGGTGACGCCAAAAAAGACAATAAATTCGAAATTAATCATTTAAGCAAATATTAATATAATGAGCATCCAGAAAATTTAAAAATGTATTCATAAAAGTTGACTCATGATAGTGCGCGAAGAAATCATGAAAACAATGTAAAAACAATCGGGAGTTGAATTGTGCATATGTATTTGCCAGAAAAAAGCTGATATTCTTATCAAACTATTGCTCATTACTGAATGCACTCACGAAAATTAAAAAAAAGTTGTTTGCTTCTGTGCTGAGAAAAAGACGGAAGCGTCCTACTTTTCATAGAATCCCACCAGGTCAAAAACTAATCAGATGCATCGTATTCAGTCCAGAAAGTATTATCCTCAACACGAATTCATCAGGACAAATGAGGGAAACATTTTGATACGTCTAATTCAAATCTTTTTTTCTGACAATGGGTCATTGTTTGTACATAAAATCGTAACATGACGGTTTGCGATTCGTCGCTGTAAATTCCCGAGAAAAGTTATTTAGAAAAAAAACACGAGAATACCTCATCAAAGCCAGACATTTTCTTTGTTTGCGACTTCGGCTCATCTAAAAAGTCGGATCAAACCTGTTTTTAATGACGTCTTGATCGGCACGATAATGGTCGAGCACGCGCGGGAGAATTCCAGGCAGAGTTTCACCAGGAAAAGCTTTTAAGCTTTCCAACACAGTGGCACTCGTTTTTATCACAGTCCAAAAAACAAAACCCTTGCCTTTCAAAGCTAAAGATGTGATAGTGTGTTAAGACGGCATTTCTGAAGCTCTCGAATAGAACGGCTTGTTCGAGTGGCTCTTCCCAGTCTTTTATGAGTTCCATTAACAGATAAACTTTCTTTTGAAGATGGATTCGGCGATGTTTTCTGGACGAAAGTAGGATGAGATTATTTGAAAGAAGGATCTATAAGCGCGTGAAACGCGGTGATTTGATGTTGTTTGTTTTTCCTCGGTTATAAAAGGAAATTTCTCAAATAAGAATATTTTCAGACAATGCTCATGACTCCATTTCAAAGCATGCATTTCCAGAAAGCTAGAAAATATTCATGAAAAACGAATATTCCATTTTCACGTTTTCATCGAGAATAAAGCATTGAACGAAGACAGAGTTTGTTCATTACCTTTTAGCAATCAATTCATGGTCCCAAAAAAGTTTGCTGATGTGGCCAATTTCAGATAAATTACCCTGAGGTTGGTGAAATTGTTGGAATTTTCGTGGTAGAATTCCGTTAATTTCTATCAGAGAGATGAAGCAAAAATTTAAAAATATTCATTCGAGGAAACTCCCGAAAATATTCAGTTCCCCCATTTCAGATTTGCGTAGTGATCAACATTAATACAAACAAAAAATTTAAAAATCCAGTCACCAATAAATACCGGAGTCTTTCCTTTCCTTGACGTCATCTGACTTTTACTGTCGAAGTTGTGACCTGAGCACCCGCATAAAAGTATACGTGTGTCGAAGCAGACGTTTTTTTTAATAATATTCTTTTTTATTCCAATAGATGTGCTGTAATATTATCTCGACGTTGACGCAGAAAACAAGAAGGACTCTATTGCACTCAAGAGCATCTCTATGCGCAGCACAGCAGGAAAATGCGTGGTGTCAAGGGCCGCTTTTTTTTTAAATGCACATTTGCATCTTCAAAACCACTTCCATCTTATATATCTATAGTTTATTTTTTCTCTTAGGTATTTTAGTATGCTTTTTAGTCAACAGCCTCTCGTCAGCTTCGTCATGTGAGTATCAAGTAGCTTCCTATGAGGTCGATTTGTCTTCTCGAAACACGACAGCTTACGTAGCTGAACTTTTTCTCTCAGCATCCAGAACTCAGTCGCGATTTTAGAGAAGAAAAAAATTTTGGGACAGGATCATGTTCCAAAATGTTAGAAGCGGCAGATGAAGGAGATTACGGCTTCGATTTCGAGACTAATCAAAGAAGCAGTGGCCATTACAAAGCCTCAGAACCAAGGTTGTTCTTGTGCCTCCGTTCGATATTTTCAGTGAGTCTGCTGTGCATGTCGTACTTAGTTTTTCAGAATCGGTACTTATTTTTTTTTTTTTCAGCGACCGGAGTCAACAGTTAGTAAAGAATGTCAAGCGCGGGATTCAAGAGGCAGTCTCTGAAAATGAAACTCCCTATTTATTTAGTCTGTCTGTTGATCATTGAATCCGTTAATACGTTCCGAAATTACGTTTCGAAGACTCCTTTTTTTCCAGTGGGAATCGAGCAGTTGTCGGCCGAACTCTTCGAGATTTCCCAACGAGTTTGAGTTATTTGATCAGGTGAGTTGTCTGGTTTGCTTATTGATGGAATAGATCAGTGGGCTGAGTCATCAGGCCAAACTTAACCGAAGGCTCGAAAAATTATTTAAATTTGCAAGAGTCGCAATATTTTGTACGTTTCCTTTCGGCTTGACTGACGTCCTCCAGGAACATTTTAGGTATAGTATTTTAGAAAATGTTAAGCATATTATTTTAGTCGTGTCCTGGATTATGTTAGGGATTTATTAGGAAATAATTTTCTTTATGCGAAATTCCAAAGGTCCAAGTATTCATTTTCTGTTAAGTGGCACCACCACCAAAGGGAACAACACAAGTTTTTCAGTCATCGTTCTAAGAAAAAA